TTCAAACGAAGGGGTATGAATTATCTCAGCGTAAACCGGCTTCAGGGGCAACATGGCTGCCCGAGCGAACAAAAAGACACATAAATGTAAGCATTTTTGTCATTAATAAAGATTTTAACGAAAAGTAATTATTTGTTTTATGTTACATTCAATCGTGAGTTCATATTTACGGTCATGTTACTCAAAGAAATGTTTGCAAAAAATCGCTAATATTTGCATCATATCATTATAGACTGCACAATAATGCCACAACATATTTTCATGTCTGATCAGGGCGATAACCACCGTAGACATTGAGGGGGGCTAATCCCCCAAATGATTAGAAATCGCTAAACCCTTGAGAGAGAGAGAGAGAGAGAGAGAGAGAGATGAAAATTGCGTGTATGCGCGTCTGTGTGTTTCTATTTTTAGAGTGAGTTTACCTAAAAAAACTGCGATTTTATCCTCTCGTTGCTGGAAAATATAATGTATCGATTCAGTATTTAAACTGTTATTAATAAAAGTCGTGGGACAGCGTTGACAAGTTTATTTTCTCCTGGATGTGTGAGCTGCGCGATCTCCGATATGTGTGTGTGTGTGTGTGTGTGTGTGTGTCAGTAAGCAGCGCATTAATATAGAACGGTAATTAAAGGCTCTAATGCACTCCAGCACACCAGTATAGGTGTGTGTATTTGTAGGAGCTAGACGACGTATGATGACGTGTGACGTATAGTAGTGGTGTCCCAATTCTTAGGGGAATATTTTCACCCCTACCCCTTGACACTCTGTTTCAAGGGACAAGAGGAAGGGGTAGGCGGAGGGGTAGGGGAAGGGGAAGGGGTATAAAATAGAATTGGGATTGGGCCTTAATCTTGAATAAGACTGGACAAATTTTGTTGCAGAACTATCTAAAAAATTGCCCAAAATAGCAGAAAGCCATAAAAGGGACCATAAAAAAATTGTTAATCATAGTTAATCAAGAAGCATGACCCTGGGCCAAAATGTGATTTAGAGATTTTAACAGATTTTATGCATGTTTTATGCACTTTGGCCAATAGGTGGCATTACCCGACTGGTTTTGTACACTCAGGGCATTGTGGCAATGATACAGTGGAACTGGCATGTCAATACAGTAAAGCACCGCAAAATACATTCTCATAGCATGTTCTGAAGATGATCTGATAACCTTTTGGAGAACTCGACTTTGAAATGTTTGAAAACATAGGTAGAAATTGAAACCTTGAAGTATAACACATTAACATACTGTGGTTTGTGAACAGCATACCTTGCTGAGCTCCTGTAGGATAAGCGGGCTGCCCACCATTGACTCAACCACCGGCTGGCACTCCAAAACTCTCTTCCTCTCCTCCGCAACATCTCTGTCCTCAGGCTGGAGAGCTTCTTCTGCCAACAGCAAAACCTGACAAAAACACACACCCACAGCTGTGATTGTTAGCATTCAAACCAATAAAATAAGAGCACTATATCCCATGTTTACATTCCTCTCCCACCTTCTTGCGTCTCCTGCAGAGGTTGAGTAGTATGTGGACACACCGGAGCTCGATGAGGAAAAGCAGGATGATGAAGACAACACCTTGTATGGACATGGCCACCAGGAAGCGGCCCACTCCGGGTTCATCCATGGAAAAGTAGTTCACTTGATATGTGATATCTGCAGATGACCAGCCAAAATGACTATAAGAAAGACTACCTAGTCCACATTAAGTGTGCCACATGATGCTAATCACCCATGCCTGCACTGCTAGCTGCTTTTAAGTGACGTCAGTCACAATAATATCAGTGCTGTTGATTGAGATTTCATTTATGACAATATTCAAAAGATTTACCAGCTAGCGGTGCTGGTCTTACAGCTCTATCGAGACCATAAACACAGTGGATTATTTAATTAGCATAGACACACACACAGGCTGACATATTACAGAAAAACTAAAATTCAATATCCAGGGCTTCACATTTGCATAAGCGAAGTGAAACGAAGCAGGAAACCACATTTCTAATTGATAAGATAATTCCACATCAAATCCACCACAACTAAATGACAGGAAAATGTTTCCTTAAAAATTTTCATATCTTATATCTATCATATCTGTCCATCTATATATAACATCTAACCATCCATCCATCTTATCTAATCATCCATTCTTCATAGTTAACTATAATCCATCATATCTAACCATCTATCAAATAACCATTCATCCATCATTTCTAACTATCCATTCTACATAATTAACCATAATCCATCATATCTAACCATCCATTCTTTATAGTTAACATCTATCATATCTAACCAACCATCATTCTAACATCTATATAATATTTAACCATCTATACATTGTATCTAACCATCTATACATCATATCTAACATCCATCAATCATTTCCAAACATCCACTCCATTATATCTAACCATCTATATCATATCTAACCATACATTTACATTTAGTCATTTAGCAGACACTTTTATCCAAAGCGTTCCACATTCTGGATTAATTGTAAAGGTTTGCCAAGAGAGCATTGCAGTAGTCCAGCCTGGACAGAACAAGAGCTTGAACAAGGAGTTGTGAAGCATGTTCCGAAAGAAAGGGCCTGGTCTTCTTGATGTTGAATAAAGCAAATCTGCAGAACTGGGCATGTTTTAGCAATGTGGTCTGAGAAAGTCACCTGATCATCAATCATAACTCCAAGGTATCTGGCTGTTTTTGAAGGAGTTATGGTTGATGCGCCTAACTGGATGGGGAAATTGTGATGAAACGATGGGTTTGATGGAACCACAAGCAGTTCTGTCTTGGCAAGGCTGAGTTGAAGGTGATGGTCCTTCATGCAGCAAGAAATGTCTGTTAGACAAGCTGAGATGCGAGCAGCTATCTTCGGATCATCAGTATGGAATGAGAGGTAGAGTTGAGTGTCATCAGCATAGCAGTGATATGAAAAGCCATGTTTCTGAATGACAGAACCTAGTGATGCCATGTAGACAGAGAAGAGAAGTGGTCCAAGAACTGAGTCCTGAGGCACCCCAGTAGTTAAATGTTGCGACTTGGACACCTCACCTCTCCAAGATACCTTGAAGGACCTATCTGAGATGTAAGACTCAAACCATTGGAGTGTGGTTCCTGAGATGCCCTTTGCCAATAGGGTTGACAGGAGGATCTGGTGGTTAACTGTGTCAAAAGCAGCAGACAGATCTAGTAAGATAAGTATTGACGATTTGGAATCCGCTCTTGCCAGTCTTAGGGCTTCAACAAATGAGAGAAGGATGTGAACGAGTGTATGTTTGCTGGTAATATGTGCTTGACAGATTGTGGTGTGGAAATTGTCATATTTAACCATCTATAATTTCTAACTATCAATTCTTCATAGTTAACCATCATATCTAACCAGCCATCCATCCATCATACATAACCATCTTTCATTATATATAACTATCCATCATCATGCATCAAATGTAACCATCTATCAATCCATCACATCTAACCAATAATTCCATTATATCTAACTATCTATATCACATTTAATCATCTATACATCATATCTAACCATTTATATATCATATCTAACCATCCATCCATCCATCATATCTTACCATCCATCTATCATATCTAATCATCTATACATCATATCTAACATCCATCCATCATATCTAACATCAATCCATCATATCTAACATCCATCCATCATATCTAACCATCCATTCTTCTTCATCCATCTGGAAAGATGTGATGGTTAACTCATCACATCTTTCCATTATATCTAACAATCCATCCTATCTAATCAACAGTCCATCAAATCTAACCATCTATCCATTATATCTAACCATCCATCCATCACATCTAACCAATAATTCCATTATATCTAGCCATCTATATCAGTGGTTCTCAACTCCAGTCCTCAGGAACCACTATATATGAATATATTTACTTGTTTTTCATATTAATATATTTACTTGTTTTTCATGAATATATTTTACAATACAAAATGTTTAACATTTTACCAGATTTAATCCTACACTTATCCACTTTTATTTGTTCCCCACTAAATAGTGTTTTTTCACTAAATATTCAGATTTGATCAAATTATTGTGCACTCATGATTTTTCTAGAATAGATTTTATGCTGAATTATACACTAACCTTGTTTATAGTAGTATTTTTGTCATAGAATATGATAATATATATATATTTATTTATTTATAATTTTTTCTCATTTGTTATTTTTCATTAAAATGAAGTTGTCTTTATTTGGTAGAAAAAGTGAGGTCAACACAGAAATTCTACATTGATTTAAAAAGCTACAAACTATATTGATTTAAAACTGCACTGGAATTGGATCAGTATCGGCCTACTGACCTAGCACGAGCTCATGATTTTCAGGTCAGGTGGTTTTTCAGGGTGATTATCAGGCACTCACTTTTGTACTTGCAAAGTATCTCGGCAAAGGTGCTGGAGGTGCAGAAGGTGATGATCTCGTAGTTCTGGTAGAACTCGCTGAAGGACATGCCCAAGCAGTAATTTGGGAAGATCAGGAAGATCTTATCCAGGAGGTGAGACATGTCTACTAGCTTTAGCTCTGAGGGAAGACAACAACAAGAATGCAAGGTGTGTGAACAGACATTCTAGCAAGAATTGAAATGCAAGTGCGGATGTGCGCGTCTCACCAGGTATGGTCATGATGGTGACCGCGAGGAAGGTGGCTGTGCCGCTGAGGATGTTGAAGATGGTGAGGCGCGTGTAGGCGGTGGCAGCCGTGGAAAACAGGAAGCTGAGCAGGTACATGAGGGGAATCACCGCCCAGCCATACAGAAGCAGCAAAAGCAGAACGTCCACCAGGTGGTTCTCGGCCACAAATGCTTTCACTGAAAACACTCGGAAGACCACCTAGAAATAACAAAGTGCCCTCATATATCCAATGCATTTAAATCATTATACGTTTTAGCTTATTTTAAAGCATACTTTGTATTATTTGAAAGCATTTAGCGGCACCCTTGCAACTGTGATGGGGCCTCCATATTAAGAACCACTGACAGAACCTAGACAGTACATTCATACTGACCAGCATGAGCAGGCAGGGCAACAGGAAGTTGATGAGGTCCCACAGCAGGGCGGAGAACCAGAAGTTGGAGAGGTAGACCCCGCTGACTTGCTGCACATGTTTGGACTTCACCGATCGCTCAGAGACGAGGAGCAGGGCAAAGGTGCTGGCTAATGATGCCATGCCGAACATGAGGTTTATGGCGATGACAAAGCCTGTCTGGCCCCTGTAGAGTCAAAAATGAAGATGAAATACCAACTAAACGACTAGGTGTCCCAAGTTAACTTCACTTAGGGTTCTGGGTTTGTTCTGACTCCTCAGGCTGATTTTCGTGATGCATAAACGCTGACAGAATCATGGACAGCACAAAATCAAGACATGATATGGACTAGTGTCTATGAATATTAAAAAGCAAAAGACTGTTACATGAAGTTCAGTTTAACTTGAAGAAATTATGACAAATATATTACTATTGTACAGTAGAATGTACTTCACAATAATAAAAACAATATATTAAAACATTACTTTAAGGAATATCACAATTTTTTGTACATTTTTTACATTTATTTAAGCAGTAAACCTCTGTTGTGCAGCACTCTTTTTGCTAAAAAATAAAACAGTTTGTAAAATGGCAATTTGATCAAAAAAATTTATTTTTTGCATTAATTTGATTACCACCATTTTTTTTTTTATAAAGAATTGTATTAAATCATAAATAAACAGAATCTAGGAAAAGTTTAATATAATTTCTGATATATGAAAAAAAAATTAAAGTTTACTTGAAAAATTAAACTAAAATTAAAGGGGATTTTAGATCTCTAATTATCACTCCATAAATCAGAAAATACTGTTAACTGCCAGGAAAAAAAACAAAACATTTTTACCATGTTTTGTATGCATTAAAATGGAAAGTTAGAATTTGGGAAAAAATAAAACAGATTTCATTACTTGGCAAGCACCACTAAATGCTCTCAAAGAGGTTACATACTCAGAAAGCTGGCTCTGGGCCGTCTCGGACATGTTGCGTGGCATGGGGTAATTTCCAGTTTGGATTGAGGCATCGGGTCCAGCTAGTAGTTTGTAGAGAGCATTGTCAACCAGCATGAGTGCCGTAGCGGGGGTGTGATAGCCCTGGTTGTTGAAGTAGCCGATGACCTCAGTGTTCTTCCTGGATCGGCTCCTGAAGGTCGCACCCACCACGCAGTGCTCATTGAAAGCTCCGCCCTCCCTCATGGCATTATATAGCACGTACTCTGACAAATCTGATCAGACAAACCACAGGTTAGGATGTTTTTGAGGCAGCTACTGTTTATTTATTCATTCGTTTTTTTTATTACCTGTTATGTTAGTGGCAGCAATGGCATTCTGGGAAGGCAGCTGTGCTGTGTAGATCTTAGCCAGAGCTGTAGCCAGCGGCCCAGCATTGACATCTACAGCCACGGGTACGTGAGTAGGGCCATATTGTTTTAGCGGCAGACGGAGCAGGGGCGTGATTTGGCTTCCAGGGAGGGTGTGGGCCACTACAAGAGCCAACACTGTGAAAATGAGCGGCACCAGAAACTGAGCCACCATCACTTTCCAGTTGCGCCAGCTGTAGAGCGCCCTCTTCAGGAACATAGCATAGAACTGCTGCATATAGAGCCCGGCCTGAGGATAAACACATGCAGAAAATCATGAATGATCAAAATAAATTATCTAAATAAATGTAAAAGATTTCTATTTCAAATAAATGCTGTTCTTTTGAACTTTCTATTCAAAGAATCCTGAAAAAATTAATGTATTACAGTTTCCACAAAATATGAAGCAGCACAACCGTTTTCAACATTGATTAAAAATATGAAATGTTTCTTGAGCAGCAAATCAGCATATTAGAATGATGTGACACTGAAAACTGGAGTAATGATGCTGAAAATTCAGCTGTGCATCACGGGAATAAATTATATTTTATAATATTTTCAAATAGTAAACAGTTATTTTAAATTGTAATAATATTTCACAAATAGTACTGTTTTTACTGTATTTTTTATCAAATAAATGCAGCCTTGGTGAGCAAGAACATTTTTATTTTTTTTTATTTAGTTTTTTTTAATCATTAATTAACAAACTTATTTTACCAAACATTATTACCAAAACAATATTGTAACATGATGTTCCCCCACATAAGTAGTCATTTGTTAGCCATACTGGTATTTTAATTTAATTTTTTTGTATTTTATTATATTATTACATTTTTATAATAATTACATCTATTTTATTTGATATTTATGCTAGAAGAAAGAAAAAAAAATCACACAAATCAGGGTATTAAATTAGTTAAAATAAATAAATAAAACATTTACTTGGGAAGTAACATTTAAAACATAAACATTTATTTAAACCACTATTAACATTTAATTTGACCTCCTGAGATGGATGAACATTTTATAAAGGTATAAGCCCTATTTTGATATTCTTGAGGAAAAATACTGGAAAACGTACAGTGGCATTTAGAGGTTCTAGAGAAATAATATACTAACGATAATATTTATGACCATGTGAATAGTGCTTGTCTATACAAATCTTTGTTAGGATGCCAAGTCACAAGAATCCAGAAGTCTCTATAATATTCTGAATCTTTCACTCTCAGTCAGTAGGGTTTAGGTCGACTACTTAGAAAAGTGAATGCAGCTAATTTCTAAAAGCACAGTAAGTTTTCTGTGAGAAGCGCCGAAGTCACTGACCCCAGTGTTGAGTTTGATGTTGGAGCCGTCCTCTGAGATCATCGTGCCGCTGTCAGTGAAATCCGTCACGTCCGTCATGCCGCTGATGCTGCTGGAGTCGTCCATGGTCCAGTCATGTGACCGCCGCTCATGCTGATACTGCAAAGCCGGAAGCTGGATGGCCTGAATATCCAGACTGGAGTCCACCAGCTTCCCGACCCTGAGAGAGTGAGCACAAAGACACAAACGGTTACATAAAATGAGGATCTGCATGAAAGAAAGTGGCCCTTACTGGGACACAGCTGGGCGGCCATTGTATGTGCTACACAAAAGCGGTTATGTAAAATGTAGAAGGGTTCACAAAAATGACGCTATCAGAATCTGTCAATCTGCACCCCGTCCTACAGCTAATGGCCGTTTAAAGTGGGACAGAAGATTCAGGACTGCACTTGAGCTCTCCAAAACCATTACGAAAAATGTTGTGGAGATGAAAAGGGAGCAGTGGTTAAAAACGCTCTTGTAAATGACACACTAGAGACCGAGCGTGTTTCTGCAGGGAATGTTTTGAGAGCACAGGTCTGTAATTTAGTCCTGCAAAATCACACTTCTCAGTCCTCTGTAGGGTTGAGAAGTCATGCAAATCAGTCCTTTTGAACGAATCAGTTCGTATATCTAACTCAGCAGTTCTTTAAGTCTCAGAAGACCTCTTTTTCTGAAAGAGCATTTCAAATCTGTGGCGTGAATTTAGACTGGATACGGTCAGTGTTCAAATCTTTCTCAGGGAGCATCCTGGTTACACAATGGCTGTTGAAATAGTTTAGCTTTTTTCCAGCAATACATTTTTCACTTCAATTTCAAGCTTTTTGCATTTCAGCAAACACGCTAATGTAGTTTATTGGTATTGATATGTAAACAAGAAAAGCCCTCATCTGTGCTACATGATTGAATTTATGCAAATATTCATGTATTTTCTTTTGTTTGTGGCATTATTGAAATGAATACGCAGCTTTGGAGCTATTGTGAGATTTAAAAGGAGAGTGAGACAGTGTTGTTATTGGTAATTAAAACTAAAACTATTCAAAATTATTTTTGCTAACTGAAATAAAATAAAGATTTGATGAAAAACTTAAAAAAGAAACAAGAATTAGAGATGCCTTGGCAACTAACTTGAATAAGATTAAGATGAATAAAATAAAAAAAATGTATGTAAGCTATATAGAAATATAGCTTTAAAAACCAATAAAAGTGAGGAGCACAACAAAATGACTAAATATTTAATAATACACTAAATCATTTAATTTACACTACAATTTAAATGAAAATTGAAAATATATGTATATATATATATTAAATGCTATATATACAGTATAGTAATGCTATAAATAATACAAGGAAAAAATACAAATCTGTGGGAACAGGTCACAGCACACAGTATCTTTAGAGATTCTTCATTATTTGTGGTGGTCTCGTGGTGAAGTACCTGAGAAAAACCTCCTCCATAGTGGTAACGGACGCCCCATAGCTGGCGATGCCCAACTCGTCTCGATTCATCTCCAGCTCAGCAAACAGCAGCTCAAACCTGCCGAGAAACAACACAGTAATAACTCAAACCTGAACACGTATGGATATCAATAACTGAAATCACTTCTGCCAAAACCATCCACATATATTCATCTTAATGCTATTTTTTGTTAGTTAAAAATGCAAACTTATTATTCTAATGTCACTGAAAACTTGTATGAAGCACCTCAAAAATAGTCAATCAATTATTAATAAGCTAGAGCAGAAGTCTACTAATACCCTTTGATAGCGCTGTAAAATAGTTGTCAGCATTTGCAAAATATGAACAATTATGGACTACTTTTAGAATATATTTATGGTACTTTTGCCAATTTTTGGAGCTTGATCAACTTTATAAAATGCTTTTTTAGTTCAATGCAATACATTTATATTTTTGTTAATATTTTGATTGAAATCATTTTATATTTTCATGTTAACGTTGTGTTTTTGGTCATTTTTTTATTATTTTTATATATATTTCATATATAATGTCTATATCGTTTTTATAAAGTTTCAGTTTATAGTTTGGGTCATTTTTTTATTATATATATATTATTATATACTTTTTAAATATTACATATATTCAACATTTTATTTCAGTTGATGTTTATTTTTATTTTAAGATTTTAGTTTTAGTGAACAACATAACCCTGGTTCCATTAAAATAATATTTTGGATAATTTAAGGAACATAAGGACAATTAAAAATGATATAAATTCACTTTTCAGATGCATTATTTCTTTGAAGAAGTGCTTTAAGGATGTTTGTCTCTCACTGACGGTGGTTTAGTGAATCAGGGACGAGAAACACACATGTCTGATGAACAGAGCAGACTGATGTTTCGAGACCTTCACTAAAAAACAGATCAATGGGTAAATTTAGTTTGTCTGTTGCTACGGCAGCTCACAAGAACCAGAGCAAAGAACCAAGACCAAAGTCTCATGTGCTTCTTTTATCTAGATACATCAAACCATTTTTTATAAGTCATTGTCTCTTGTAAGAGTTTGTGCAATCAAGGTTATTGATTAAAGGCAATGAGGACGAGACCTTGATGTTTGCATTCCTGTCAAGTCTAACATGTAATCTCTTCAAATCAGATGTTTTTGTAGTATGCAGCATTGTTGCCAGTATGCAGACTTCTTCATGCACTGAAAAACTGGATGACCAACTACTTTTCGCTGCATTAAACATGCAACATAATAAGTGGACAATGTTTCTTACTACTGTTTGAAATGCATTGCATAAATCATTTGGTTTCACTATTTTAAACACAGTGCACACTACACTATGCAGTAGATATGTGAAGTCAGTGTTGTCTTACCGGCTGGTGCTCTCTTTGGGCAATATGTAGGAGAGTTCAGCGCCTGCACTGCTCTCAAGAGTGGCATCAGGCACATACATGTGCACTAGACGGGTGATCTCGGACACGTTACAAAACGCGTCCTTTACTATAACCATGTGGTAACCAGCACCTGTAGAAATACAAGATTAAATCAGATAAATATTGTTTTTGGAGACTACTAGCTAGAAGCAAAGTTGTTATTGGAGCAAAACACTACTTTTAAAGGGGTCATGAACTGCTGTTTTTATTATCATTATTTTATAATGTTCTCTCAGGTCCACTTATAGTGTAAACAAGATTTGTACATCAAAAAGCATCAGAATTTAGCAGTAATAGGCTATTTTGTGTCATGTTTTTGACCCTTTCTGCAGAACAGTCAGTTTTTTATAGGCGAGGCGCATTCAAGTAAATGGAAGTAAATGCCAACTGCTATGATTGGTTTTGCATATTAAAATAATAGATGGGCTGGCGCCAGTGCCCTCATGGTTAGTGCGCAAATATACAGCACAGCTGCACTCGCAGCGACCCGAGTTCGAATCCCATCTCGTGGTCCTTTGTCAATCCCGTTCCCCTCTCTCTCTACCCAGTGATTTCCTGTCTGCTCTCTACTGTCCTGTCCGAATAAAGGCATAAAAAGCCCATAAATATAACTTAAAGGGATAGTTCACCCAAAAATGGAAATTTTATGTTTATCTGCTTACCCCCAGGGCAAAACAAACGAAGATTTTTAACTCAAACCGTTGCAGTCTGTCGGTCTTACAATGGCAGTCAATGGGTTCCACGGCTTTGAGAGTAAAAAAAACATACACCGACAAAACCAAATTAAACCCTGCGGCTCGTGGCGATACATTGATGTCTTAAGACACGAAACGATCGGTCTGTGCAAGAAACTGAACAGTATTTATATAATGTCTGAGCGCATTCACAACAACCGGCGTGTGACGCGTGTACATGCTCTGGCATAGTAGACATAGATATATAAAAGTAGATGCCTCATTAGTGACTGTTTCTATGGTCACTAAGCACTAAGATACGTTCCAAAATGGCGGAAGCGTCAACGTATACGGAGCGGTCGAATAGGGCATCTATACATATCTATGATAGTAGACGCATGTGCGGAAGCGATCTGTCGCGCGTATACGTCACTCATTATTTATACAGTGCAGAGAGATTGCGGACGTGTTCACTGGAACTGCGATGATCTAAAGATGTTTAGAAGTACAGGTCATCACAATGGAAGAGACGATTTTGATATATCATCAGACAACGTTGAATTTTTTGCCCAACCGTATTTATTTGACATCACGCGCCGGATGTTGTGAACGCGCTCAGGACATTTGGACATTGCGGTGAATCAGAGGTAAAAAATTATATAAATACTGTTCAGTTTCTTACACAGACCGATCGTCTTGTGTCTTAAGACCTCAATGTATCGTCACGAGCCGCAGGGTTTAATTTGGTTTTGTCTGTGTATGTTTTTTTTACTCTCGAAGCCGTGGAGCCCATTGACTGCCATTATAAGACTGAAAGACTGCAACAGTTTGTGTTAAAAATCTTCGTTTGTGTTCTACTGAAGAAACAAAGTCACCTACATCTTGGATGCCTTGGGGGTAAGCAGATAAACATCAAATTTTCATTTTTGGGTGAACTATCCCTTTAAAAAATAATAATAATGGATGGATGCTGCTGTGATGTACCCTGAAAACAACAAGGGTCATTTGGGTTAAAAAGTATACATAAGTGTACATATCAAACGATCTGGAAAAGACAGCGCAATAGCGGTAACTCACACTTATGTGTTGCGAGAGTGCCAAAGCGCAACTAAAGACAACAGAAATATAATTGTCAAATTTGAAATATAATCTTCTGCACAAACGTCCTGTGAGAACATCTTTCTGTTCCTGTCATGATCTTGCAGCAGTCTCACCGTATTTGTTCTTGAGGAAGAGAGACGAGCCGCAGCACTGGAGCTCTCCGCTGGCCATAATGGCGATCCGATCTCCCAGCAGGTCGGCCTCGTCCATGAAGTGCGTGGTGAGCAGGATGGTGCGGCCACGCTTCTCGCCCTGCAGCAGGTCCCAGGTGGCCCGGCGGGCTGAGGGGTCCATTCCTGAGGTGGGCTCGTCCAGCATCACCACCTACAGGGAAATAAACAAAAGCACATAGACTGTGTTAGCATTAGAGTGGCTAAAGCAAATGGGAAACTTTTATGTAATGATGGAAAATCCAAACTGGACCAACATGGAAATTAATAAACAGAACACAAATGCAAAAACATCTGCTAAATATAAAATGTGCCGTGAAATACACCTGACCTTTGAGTCTCCAATTAAAGCAATGCCGATGGAAAGCTTCCTCTTCATCCCGCCAGAGAGGGTTTTGGATCGCGCATGACGCTTGTCCTCCAAATTCAGGATCCGAAGGATGCGGTCCACCTCATCAGGGATCTTTTTGCGAGGATAACCCTTCAGCTTAAGAGAAGAGACAAGGTATGTGAAGATCCATCTGAATGCTGAATACAGTGCAAGAGTTGGCTCCAGAAGTAAAAATGCCATTCATTTTCTCCATAGGCTACTGATTTTTAATAATAACTTTGTTTATGGATTGTATATGCTTTTGTTGAAGCCATTGTTCAACATTATTTCAACTTTTTCAAATTCCTGGTGAACAACTACATTACTAAATTTTCTGCAGAGGAATCTCCACCAATCAGAGAATCGCAACAAGCAAATCTCCCAACGCTCTCGAACTACTTATATATTCACTTGTATTTGCATATTGTGCAACAAACTTAAAAACCATTGTTTCTATATTAGTAACTTTAAATGAATCATTTCGTATGTCTCCATTGTTTTTTTATTTGAATTTCATCCACAATGCTTCATGGGTTCTTTCCCTCATTTAAGCTGTTAAGTACACAGTCTTCTTTGTCTTGTTGTCCAATTTTCACATAGCTTTCTGCTTAAAATCAAAGTTTGATTCACCTCACAGCTGGCAAGGTTATAATAATTAGGCTAAAATTAGAACCATAAAAAAAAAGACTTTCACAACTATATAAAAAAAACTTAGTTCCTAGTGAAATATTTCTTATTTATTTAGATTAACTTGATTCATTAAAATAACTAAAACCTGAAAATAAAAATGAATAAAACCATCTAGACATATAGAGAAAGACCTAATAAAATAACAAAACCCAACAAAGTTTACTAAAAAGTTTACTAAACTTGAACTAAAACCATAAAAACCATTCGTTACTTAAAATAAACTTTAACTGAAATGATATTAAAAAAACGTATAATATAAAACAAAACACTGTACTAAAATAACTAAAATAAAAACTGAAATTAAATTAATAAAACATATAGCCATATAGACAAAAATACTACACTTAAAATAACTAAAAACTGAATTTTATAGAATATTACTTTAACTAAAATTAAAATGAAAAAATTAAATGTTATGAAGCTACATTCAAACTAGCTAAAAGCTAATCATAATTTCAGGTATATTAAAAGCTAGACTAGCTTGTAGCTATATATATATATATATATAATTTTAAAAAACAATTTTTACCTTTATTTAACCAGGAAGTCTCACTGAGATTTAAAATCTCTTTTTCAAGAGAGACCTGGCCAAGGTAGCAGCCATACAGTAAGACAATTTTAAAATACAAGAAGTACACATTACAACAATAGTTAAACATCCTCTCAACAAAAACAATCACAAGCTTCCAATACCACTTTCTTTATGATGCCTTTAAATTCACCAATAGAGACAAATGTATCTAGTTTTAAATCTTTTTGCAAATTAATATGAAAATGCAATTTTCCCCAGTTCTGTACAAACTCGAGGTATGTTAAAAAGCAAACACTTGGAAGAGCGTAGCTGGTAATTGCCAGAACAAAGACAAAGAAGAGTACAGAGATAAGCTGGAAGTTCACCTTACATTGCTTTATAGATACAAATGTACCAATGCTGTTTTCTACGTAAAGCTAATGATGTCCAACCCACCATCTCGTATAGAATGCAATGATGAGTACAGGATTTTGCATTTGTAATAAAACGTAGTGAAGCATGGTATACCGAATCAAGGCTTGTTAAGATAGAGGAGGCCATATGCATGTATAATATATCACCATAATCAAGCACAGTTAGGAAGGTAGCTTCTACAGGTTTCTTTTTGGCATTAAAAGTACAATTTATATAATAAATACCGTATTTACCCGAATATAAGACAATGTTTTTTTTCTTGGAAATACATCTGAAAAAACGCGGCCGTCTTATATTCAGGGTCTAGACTTTGACATGTCAATAATACACCCACAACAATAGGTGGCGCCAAATACGCATAAAACGAGTGTGCCATGAAATACGTAATGTAATGGTGTTGTAGATCACGAGTAAAAACAAAAGAAAAACATACTTTCAAAAAAAAATTAAAATAGGAAAAATATGCAATATGAAAATAATTGATAATTGAAAATAAGACAAAATGTGTTTTACTGAGAAAAAACAAGATTTGGTTTTTAAAAAGCCTTTTTCCAAAAGGTACATCTGGAAAAAGGGGGGTCGTCTTATAATCAGGGTCGTCTTATATTCGGGCCAATACGGTAGATTTATTTCTAAAATAAAAGCCAAGCTTTAGTTTGAGTTTCCTGATTAGATTAGCAATATGTACATTGAACAAAAGTTTATCATCAATCCAAATGCCCAAGTACTTGTAAGAAGGTACTCTTTCAATAATATACAAGCTATACAAGCTGCTAACAAAGTAGCTAAACTATGAAAATATTTAAGGGGTCAATCAATATTAAAAAAAAAACAAAAAACAATTTATAATCAGTTTATATACAAGTTGTGAAGCTACTTTTAAAATAGCTACAAATTACTCAATTTAATGCAGTTAAACAGTCAAGATACTATTTTTTAAAAGAATATAGCTACATTACATAATAAGCTACTAACATAAAGTGGCTAACTACATATTTAAGATGACATTCGACTTAATATCAGATTACATGATTCACTTCTGTTTTCAACTGCCACAAGATTTACACTATAACACTTAAAACATGTTAAAAACATAATTTAACTGAATCATAAACATTCCACCACAAAACTGATGATATACAATATCATGTAGGATGTTACAAGAACACAAAACAGAAATGATTCAAATGAAACATTTGTTGAACCAGTTCATTAAAACCCTTCAAACAAACTGACTCGCTAAAATGAATCACATTTCCTAAAGCAATAGGAGAGGGACAGTCACACTATTTTATACATAAAATGGCACTGCTGTGTTCATTACCTGTCAGCATTGATAGTGTGGTGGTCTTGCCCGCTCCGTTGTGACCCAGCAGGACAGTGATCTGGCCTTCGAACATGTTGAGAGTTAAATCCCTCACTGCCTCCTTGGTCTTATTTCCCACTTTGAACACCTGCGACAGAAGGATCCACATGTTCACTTTCTCCAACCATTTCTACAGGTGATCCATGTCTCGTCACACTGACCTTGAGTCTACCATCTGTCCCCTATGAATCTAATATTATTAAAGGGGTCATATGATGTGAGTTTTCCTTTCTCTTTGGAGTGTTACAAGCTGTTTTTGAATAGATAAGATCCCTAAAGTTGCAAAGACTAAAGTCTCAAAACTTCTATTCTTTATAAAAGTTAAGACTCGTCCACGCCCTCCTAAAACGGCTCGTTCTAATGCGCCCCCACATGTTTACATCACGATGTGGGAAGATTTGCATAACACCACCTAAATGTTCACGCAAAGAAAGAAGGTGTAACTTTATGTTGTGAAGATGCTGTGTGTTTCGTTGTGAAAGCGAAAATACTTTGTTTGGCCTTCCAAAAGGGGACAGGACTAGAAATCAGTGGTTAAGTTGTATTTACAACACTGTTCCAGAACAGTTCAACCCAAATATTCAGATGTGTGCAGCACATTTTATGGAGGACTGTTTCCTGAAGTCATTACAATCCATAATTATGTCCCCACTAGATGCAACAAATGCCTCGTTTGTAATGGGTTTTAATGTTTTTGTCTCTTCGTACCGGGACAAGGCATCACAGTATGGTAAGGAGTGTAACATTTCCGTCTCACGCTTGAGGTATTCGGTCAATCACAATGCACTGGATAGCTGGCCAATCAGAGCACACCTCGCTTTTTCAGACCGATGAGCTTTTTAAAAATCGACGCGTTTCAGAAAGGCAGGGCATAGAGGAGAAACAATAATGTACAGTATGTGGAAAATAATGTGTTTTTTAACCTTAAACCGCATAAACACATTTCATTACACCAAATACACAAAATAATGTTCTTTTTAGCAACATCATATGACCCCTTTAAAGCAAAACACCATGCATCTGATGATACCTTTGCCAAATGTTTGATCTTGACCCCTGAGACCAGTCCAGCTGGCTCCTCTTCAATGAATTCGCCCTTCGACACCTTCTCGGCCTCCTCCTCTTCCTCCTTCTCCTTCAGTAGGGCCACACGAGGGCTGCTGCACCAGTATGAGGGCTGAGCGCAGATGAGGAGGAGAAATATTAGATAAACACATTCATAACATTACACCATAATGGCTAAATGTTCCCCATTTGTTTCATAAACATTCACATAATGCCCTCTCTCATAAAATGTAAATGAGTGCAAAGGCCTGTTCACATTAAGAATGATAATTATAAGATAATGATAACTATATTAGTGTTCACACCAACGTTGAATTCTGGTTGGCAGTCAATGTTTTTATCGTTCATCAGCTTGAAAAAAAAATTTATTCTGAAAGTGATCCCAATGATATTATTCCTGTGTATCGTTTATCATGATAGTTGTGCTGTGGATTCAGATATTCTCTTAAATTTAGATCGGTTTTTAAAACTTTATCTTTATGGTTCATGTTGTCAATGGTTCACATGACCAGTTGAACTTGTTTGCGAAATTCCTGATTGCGTGGATTCCTATTAGAAAAAAACAACTGGATTTTGCCATTGAATATTGACTCAACAATGGTAAATGTAGCCGCAGTTTAAGCATTCGAAGTCTGTCAGGTAAAACATCAATTTACTGACGCAATTCAATCGATCTGCTATTTCAGAGGTTTCTGTAAATATTTAGTTTATACATAAAGTTAACGTTTCAACTACGTTTAATGCTGAAATGCAAAAATGCGTTTCTGCTGTGAATTAGAGTGACCAACTTGAACCAATTGCGCAGATTCTCATTGAAATAACTGGATTTCAACGTAAAAATCCAGTAAACGTGACTGCACCTTAAACGCCTGAAGTCTGTCAAGGAAAACATGACTTTAATCATCAGTTTTACTGATAGTTGCATTGCTGAAAAAAAACATTGCTGGTCATTATTCTGAAAGTGATCCCAATGATATTATTCCTGTGTATCGTTTATCATGATAGTTGTGCTGTGGATTCCGATATTCTCTTAAATTTAGATCGGTTTTTAAAAATGTATCTTTATGGTTCATGTTGTCAATGGTTCACATGACCAGTTGAACTTGTTTGCGAAATTCCTGATTGCATGGATTCCTATTGGAAAAAAACAACTGGATTTTGCCATTGAATATTGACTCAACAATGGTAAATGTAGCCGCAGTTTAAGCATTCGAAGTCTGTTAGGTAAAACATCAATTTACTGACGCAATTCAATCGATCTGCTATTTCAGAGGTTTCTGTAAATATTTAGTTTATATACAGTTACGTTTCAACTACGTTTAATGCTGAAATGCAAAAATGCGTTTCTGCTGTGAATTAGAGTGACCAACTTGAACCAATTGCGCAGATTCTCATTGAAATAACTGGATTTCAACGTAAAAATCCAGTAAACGTGACTGCACCTTAAACGCCTGAAGTCTGTCAAGGAAAACATGACTTTAATCATCAGTTTTACTGATAGTTGCATTGCTGAAAAAAAACATTGCTGGTCTTTTTTTTTTACTCACAATTTATACCTCATAAAAAAATTGTAGCACTTGGCATAACTAGAAACATGTATAAAAATGCCCATGTTATACATGTTTTATATCGTATGACTTTTCCAGGTCTAAAAATCACACTTTTAAAATGAGCCTTCCTCATATATCCAGGTTTTTCTAGGCATTAGAAATAATTTTAAGTCATATTGAAGCCTCCTTGGAGGTTTGCTCAAGTCCCCAGGTTGATAATGTCCAGGCAGAAGACCAGTTAAGACCAGAAAACCAGCACAGATTGGTTTAAGATTAATTAATAAACCAGCATAGATTGGTTCATTTCAGCAGAGTGCTCAGGTAACATTTAATGTAACATCCATCACGTCCACAGAATAAACTATGTCAGTGTTACAGCCATTCAAATCCCTAAACGTGAACAACAGTAATAAGTGATGCTTGCCTTAAAAAACACCCCTAAAAACATAACTAATAAGTAGTGCTGTAAACCGATTAATCGCGATTAATCGCATCCAAAATAAAAGCTTTTGTCTACATAATGTGTATATAATGTGTATATTTATTATGTATATATAAATATAAACACATGCATGTATATATTTAAGAAAAATATGTTATGTTTATATGCTCAATATATTTATATATAATATAAAATATAAGAATATAAATATTTCCAAATATATGCTGTATGTGTGTGTATTTATATACATATAATAAATATACACAGTACACACACATATATATTATGTAAACAAAAACGTTTATTTTGGATGTGATTCATCGTGATTAATCGTTTGACAGCACTACTAATAAGTAACTAATCTAGTGTAAGAAATTCCTGCAAACCCATAAATCTGTGAAAACATTTTCAGATAAGCTCAAAAGCCAGGTCATTCATTACGCTACACTCTGTGTACAAAGGCATTTGTGTATTAACATGCTAGACATCCACTGAGTCAAAGGTGTGACCCAGAAGGCCATTGTTTCATATCACTTTCACTCTGAAGGGGTCTTTATTGCCGCTCCGCTGATAAGCCTGTCTGCAAACACAAGCATTGACGCAGCGGGTGTCCTACATATACAATAGCTCTGCGCAAATCATGTCCACTGTTCTTCATCCCCTCCCTCTCCACGCCCTACAGTAAATCCTGTATGTCTGGAGATAAGGCTGCGCATGCACTTCCTGGCCGTCTTGATGACATAAGCACGGTTTTCCTGCCGAGACCAAATGCTTCCTGTCTTTCAAGACCCTGTCGGTCAGGAAAGTCACTCAAGTTGCGCTCGTGCTGGTTCTCACTACCTCGCACTTTGAAGACTTCCCATGGGTGAACCGCTTATCTCTGCGACAAGTTCATGAGGCCAAAATAAACCTACTTTGAGCACAGTTTCGCAAGAACACTAATCCATGTGATGCGCACGAGGAAGTTTGAGGATTGAGGAAATAATCGCTCAAAATAAACACGCTCATGGTCAAAAACATTGAAGGCCGGATTCACAAAACATTGTTAAGAACAAAATTCTGCTATCTTCTTATTTTCTAAAAATAAAGTTCCGAATATTTTGCACTGCCAAAAACATTCATTTTTTTCTTAGGACCGTTTTAAAAACAAAATTTAATAGCAACAATTTGAGCTCATGAAAACAATGTTCTTAAAAATCATCGTAATTATTAACTTTTTCAAGTCTGAATAACCTTCAACTTGTCTTAAATTCTCAAAGGGAAGTTGTTTAACAAATTAATTTGGGTTGTTTCAAATATTTAGCATTACAACATACTGTAACACTAGTGACATACATTACAATTACTGGGGATGTGCGTGAGTTCATATGATTATATATACAACGATCTGTCACGATTATACGTGATGTGACTTTTTGTTTATTTGAAATTCAGTAAAAAAAATATTTCCAATTAAGTCTAATTTCTGAAATTTTCCTATGAATGATTTATAAAACATCCATACGCATAAAAATATCCTAAAGCAGATGCTCGTTTGTGCATATAATAATATTAATATTAATGGATTTTTAATATTATTATCTTTACATTTTAATAAACAAAAGGTTTGCATGCTCTTTTTGCCTTAAAAATCCTGATTTGTTGACAAAGGATTAAATTCAAGGATGGAATTTAGTGTCAAATTTAATCAAAAGATCATCCATCATGAGACAGAAAAAAAAAATAATAATAATAAAAAATGTTTATGTAAAATACACAGCGCATTAAAAATGTGACACAGAGAGCTGAACTCGCATCAAGTCAGAAATAGTATGCACACTGCACAATTATTATTATTATTACAGTAATATGCTGGCAATGTCAAAAAGACAGGTTAATAATAATATTCTTAATAAATAGGTATTAAAATAGTAAGATGTTCTTAGGAAAAAATTCAAGAACTTAAATATAAATATCATCATTATTCTAATATCTAATTTGCCTTCATTTTGGCGTCTTTGTTATTGTTTAAATATTGAAAATATGTATGTTTTATTTGGTTGTTTGTTTGCAAAAAAAAAGAAAACCCAATAAAATATAAATCATTTACAAAGAAAATGATCACGAACGTCTTAAGAACTTTCCAAGAATTTCACTATAGTCCAACCAAAAAAATGACAATTTTGTCAGCATTTACTCCTCTTCATGTCGTTCCAAACCTGACTTTCTTCAGCTGAACACAAAAGAAGATATTTTGAAGGATGTTAGTAACCAAACAGTTTCGGTTTCCACTGACTTCGATTGTATTTTTCATCCATACAATGCAAGTCAATGGGAACCGAAACTGTTCAGTTACCAACATTCTTCAAAATATCTTCTTTTGACAAAAGAAAGTGATACAGGAAAAAAAGTATTGGACTATCCCTTTAGGAAACAGTTTAGCTTCTTAGTGAATTCAACCCCTACCAGTTGATGTGCATGTAGACCAGGGGTGCCCAAACTCGGTCTTGGAGGGCCGGTGTCCTGCAGAGTTTAGCTCCAACTTGCTTTAACACACCTGCCTTTACGTTTCTAGTATGCCTAGTAAGAGCTCGATTAGCTGGTTCAGGTGTGTTTAATTGGGGTTGGAGCTAAACTCTTCAGGACACCGGCCCTCCAGGACCGAGTTTGGGCACCCCTGATGTAGACAATACTTACCAGAATGAAGAAGTACCATGGACGAGGGACTCCATATTCTCCCGGAAACACGGCTTCCATGTACCAGGCAACCAGACCGTACAGCACCGAGTCCACCAGCAGCAGACCCAGCACTTGAGCCAGAGAGAAGTCATCGTCCACCGTCACCGGCTCAAACAGGTTATGCCACTGGATGCCCGTCCCTGAGGACCACACAGGACACGAGCGTCAGCTTACGATGTGTGATTAGAGCAGCAGCAGAGTCAGTTCAGTCGGACCCCTGACCTTTGCTCTCGAACATGCCGATCAGCTGGGCTCCCATGGCCATGGCCACGTTGGAGATGAGGCAGGCGGAGACTTTCTGGGCATGCGACAGCAGGTCATAGCGAGGCCACAGGAAGATGTACGGCAGGTAGCTCAGGAAGTAGATGAAGCCGCCCGCTGCTGCGGCCACATTCGCTACGGGAGAGGAAGACCTTTAATTAAAACGAGGTTTTGCTCAGGATTATATGAAAACAACTTCACTGCTAAATGAAAAGGAAGAAATTATATTTTACTTTAAGATGCTATTTTAAGACCTTTAAGATGTTTTACGTTGTGTCATTGGTTTTAACATCGTACTGCAAAAGTGCATGGACATTTGTGTTTTTATATTTCCAATTACTTACAATGGTGATTCTCTGTATAAAAGTACTGTGATATAACAATTCCTGCTGGTTTACATAAAGGCAACAAAACAAATTCTACTATTATTTAAAAGTACTTATTTAAATACTTATTCTCATGTTTTCATTTTATTTTTAAAACAATTCATATTCAAGTTTATTAAATTAAATTATTTTCACATTATATTAATAATAATTTAGGGAGAAATGCATGATTCTCAGGGGGGGGAAAATCCAAAAAAATAAAATTAATAAACAAAACAAAAAATAAGAAATAAAATCACACTGACATATATATATATATATATATATATATATGTGTGTGTGTGTTTATTTCTTATTTTTTGTTTTGTTTATTAATTTTATTTTTTTGGATTTTCCCCCCCCTGAGATGTATGTGTGTGTGTGTGTGTGTGTGTGTGTGTGTGTGTTTGTATTTTGCATTATTCACAATGGTGATTCTCTAAATAAAAATTCCTGTAATATAATACGTTACACTTATTTAAGTGAAGACATGATACAAGCAATACAAATACTACCATTTGAAGACACTTTAATATTGAAATAATATTTGTTTTTATATTTTATTTAAATTCTTTATTATAAAAAAATCATAATTTTTTTCATATTGTATTAATGTGAATTTGGGGAAAAAAAGTATGGAAGTCTGCTTCAGGAAAAAATAGGTAATTGTGAAAGTTATATAAAATAAGAGAAAAAAAAAATCACACCATGATATATATGTGTTTTTTTGTATTTCCCATTATTCACAATGATGAATCTCTAAAAAAATAATAATAATAACGTAATACACTAATTCATGCCGATTTAAAAACAAAATCTAACATCTAACAGCAAATACTAACATCGTTTATAAATACTTATATAATATTTAATTATTAATTTTTATGTTTTATATAGTGTTCCATTATTTTTTTCACATTATATTAATGAGAATTTGAAGACAAATGTATGGATGTCTGATTTTGCCTCAGGAAAAAAGAGCACCAAATACTACCATTATTTATGAAGAATTTAATATTTAAATACTATCTATTTTTAAGTTTTATTTTATTTTTAAAACAATTCCAAAAAACATTCATTATTTTGTCACATTATACAGAATTTGCGGGAAAATGTATTAAAGTCTGATTCTGACACAGGGGAAAAAAGGCAATTGTAAAAGAAAAGTCAAATTATATTATTATTTATATATGTGACCATGGACAGCAAAACCAGTCATAAGGGTCAATTTTTCGAAATTGAGAAGTATACATCATCTGAAAGCCGAATAAATAAGCTTTTCATTGATGTATGGTTTGTTAGGAATAGAACAATATTTGGCCGAGATACAACTATTTGAAAATCTGTAATCTAAGGGTGCAAAAAAAATCCAAATATTGAGGAAAATCACCTTTAACGTTGTCCAAATGAAGTTCTTAGCAATGCATATTACTAATCAAAAATTAAGTTTTGATATATTTACAGTAGGAATTGTACAAAATATCTTCATGGAACATGATCTTTACTTAATATCCTAATGATTTTTGTCATAAAAGAAAAATCTATAATTTTGACCCATACAATGTATTGTTGGCTATTGCTACAAATATACCCCCAGCGACTTAAGACTGCTTTTGTGCTCCATGGTCACATATACATATATTATATATAAATACAGCGTGATATTTTTTTCAAAGACGTTTCTCTGGAAGCCTATTACAAAATAAAAAATCATTTCGGGGTGAATGTGACCTGGCTGTTTTTGTGCCATTCACTCTCACCAGCATGAGATTCAGAGTGTGAGATGTAATGACGGACGTGAGATGCGAATGAGTCTCCATTATAAGGCTCCAGAATCAAACCCCTGCACTCACTCACTCACACATGGCCTTGAGCTGCACTCCCTTTGACCCTCGAACAGCCACAAAAGAGCCAATGAGAGAGGTGATGAGAGAAAGCGCAGTGAAAAGAGTGGCACCGCTGCTCAACAAATGGAAGAAAATGACACACTGGGCTATTTTTACATTCACATCTCGAAGGGACGCTGAGATGCGGAGAACCTCTTCACACTCAACAATATGTCATTTGGGCTTTAAATAGGCCAATCCAGGACGTGTTGATTAAGGTCCATTTTCAGCCTTTCTAAACCCGAGAGCTGAGTCTCTATGGGCTTTTGAATACAGAAGGTCATTGCACCGCACCGATTCGATTTCAGACACATGGCCTCGATTTGCTGTAAGAAAAAACAGCCGACCACTGCATCACATACAGTGGGGGAACCATACACCATACCTACTGTGAAGCATGGGGGTGAAAACATCATGCTTTGGGGCTGTTTTTCTGCAAAGGGACCAGGACGACTGATCCGTGTAAACGAAAGAATGAATGGGGCCATGTATCGTGAGATTTTGAGTGAAAACCTCCTTCCATCAGCAAGGGCATTGAAGATGAAACATGGCTGGGTCTTTCAGCATGACAATGATCCCAAACACACCACCCGGGCAACGAAGGAGTGGCTTCGTAAGAAGCATTTCAAGGTCCTGGAGTGGCCTAGCCAGTCTCCAGATCTCAACCCCATAGAAAATCTTTGGAGGGAGTTGAAAATCCGTGTTGCCCAGCGACAGCCCCAAAACATTACTGCTCTAGAGGAGATCTGCATGGAGGAATGGGCCAAAATCCCAGCAACAGTGTGTGAAAACCTTGTGAAGACTTACAGAAAACGTTTGACCTCTGTCATTACCAACAAAGGGTATATAACAAAGTATTGAGATGAAATTTAGTTATTGACCAAATACTTATTTTCCACCATAATTTGCAAATAAATTCTTTAAAAATCCTACAATGTGATTTTCTGGATTTTTTTTCTCATTTTGTCTCTCATAGTTGAGGTATACCTATGATGAAAATTACAGGCCTCTCTCATCTTTTTAAGTGGGGGAACTTGCACAATTGGTGGCTGACTAAATACTTTTTTCCCCCACTGTACATCAGCTGTATAAAACCACAACACTAAATAATAAATGTAATGAGGAAACTCAGGTCATATTTCACTTTTAAAATAAAACAAGACATCGTATATTGCTTAAGGAAGATATAAAAATGTTAGGATCATTAAGAGTTTTTCATTGTTTTGCACCTGTAATCCAAAATTGAAATTAAACTGGTTTTAATTTTAAATGAAATAAATAAAAATGGACGTAAATAAATAAAACTAAAAAAAATAAATGAATAAAATACATTTATTCAATAACTAAATTCATTAATTAATTAATACAAATACAAATACATTAATAAAGAACAAAAATAACAACATTCAAATAAAAAAATAAACATAAAATATACAATTATTTACACTGCAGTAACAAAAATGCAACAACAAAAAAAACTTAATAGTCCTAAATTAGCTTCAAGCACTTCTTTTGTTTTTACTATTGTGATGAAATGAAAGTATATGAACACTCTCTTACATTCAGATTATTTCAGAAACGGATTATTTCATAATCTTTGACATGAAAAGCTAACCAAGTTGCATTAGGCAAATGAAGCATGACTCATATGAATAGGTAAATCTACCATGAACAATATTACGATCAACCAAAGCATTTGCCTTGAGTCCAAACAAGCAAACATTTCTCTTAAACGCACAGAGTGTCAGCTGATTTTTTACACAGGACAACACATGATATTACATTTCCTGCCTGAGGCTGCATTTTACAGACATACACTGCCTCATTTCCTCCTACACATAATGCTATGCGTCACCATTTAGTGCCTGAAATGTTTTCAAATCTGCCCATAAAAGGAATCATTTGATGACTTTATTAATGCATCAGCATATTTGAGCACCTTTTTAAAATGCAATTTACTCAACAAAGCCTTTCACGTAAAAACAAAACATTAAATGCGTCATGCCGGGTTTTAAAACACAGAAATGTGAACAAGATGGGACAGTAAGAGCAGAAGGCATGTTATTCCAGCAAACAGAAGCTACATTTTTGTCTGGTTCTTCATTAAAAAAAAAATCCATGCACCATTTTGTCTTTTTGAAGCCTTAAATGGCCAAAAAAAAAAAAAGTTTTCTTACTCTTTTTTTTTTTCCAGTTCAAATGTCTACACATTCTTAAAACAAGATTAATTTATTTGAGATGCAAACGGACCTCAAATACTAAGTCTCATTTTCTGAAAAAAGTATCAGATTTAAGTGAGTTTGTACATAAAACAAGAAAAAAGTTAGAAATATAAAGTTAATTCAAAAGGAAAAAACAAAAATTGTTCTTTCCCAACTGACAAATATTTGCTCATGGTAATTAATTAATTAATTAATTTGTTTTCAGAAAACTTAAGCCATTTTGTTTCTCAAGTAAATCGTGATTTATTTATATTTATATATATATTTGTACTGGAAAACAAGGTAAAAAATATTCAATAAGAAATAATTTTGTGGTCACCGTCCACTTTAATTGTATGGAAATGATCAACTTACAAAAATCATGATTTTTGCATATTTCTGAGTAAATGATGACTGAGTTTAGATTTTTTGCTGAACAACAGCTTTAACTCAAAACCACAGGCGGTGAAATGGCCAGTTCAGTCAGTTGCGAACACAATAATGAAATGAAACTAAATGCACAAAACGCCAAAGTGCATCTGATTTCCTATTCATTCCTCCCATCAGGTTGAAGAGTTAAAGCGTTATGAATCTGCTCTTAAAGCACATCTACACATCTTATTATTAGCTCACCAATCAAACACAACACAGTCCAGCCATGACTCCTGCTTTCACTCACTGAAAGCATTTCTAGCATCAAAAAGGGTCAATAACTGCGACCTGAGCATTTTCCTCAGCTGCTTTTACACACAGTTTGGGGTAATCGAAGGTTTTTGTTTGGCAGGGAAAAGAAAAAAGTAGCGCAGGTTATGGACAAAGGAGAGCTGATTTCTGAAAGCTTTGTAAGAGTCGAGTTTAAACGCAGCTCATTTTGTTTGTGCCTGTACAGAGCCAAAAACACAGCAAATATGTCCCATTTTGTGCCTTCATTCCTTTAGTCACCTCTGCTTTCTCTTTGTTCTACTATCTCCAGCCTTTGATTATGAGGCTTTGTTTCTCACCATAGTAATGCCGCTTGATTAAACGGCTGTATATACAGTATACGCTGTCAGATAATACAGTGTAACGACAATTACAAGAGTAATCACACATTCACAGAGCAGAGATGGAGAAGTCACCTCTGGAGAAGAAGGCGCTGATCATGAAGCTGAAGTTAATGGTGGACACGGCAAACACCAGCAGGAAGACAAACACCAGCGTGGGGTCGCTGTAGGTCAACACCGCTCCGTTAGGACTCACCTGACAGAGAAACAACACTTAACGTTACATTACATACATTACCTACATACGACTGTTTGGCAAAACTAGAAAACCGTGTACTTTTCAGATGGGAATCGGAAGGAATTTAACAATTATGATTCTCATTGTATTTAATGATTCGGATTCCTTAGTAAATCTATTAACCATTCATTGCACGCCTTCAATTACAATTTGGTTTACAGAAAGTTGTAAATGAAAATATCAATACATTTTTGCTACGATTAAACAAACTCACTTTTTTGCCTTTAGAGAATTTATTATTATCATTATTGCCAATTTTTTTGCAGATTACTAATTAAAGAAAACGGCTGTATAGTTTTGAGTATTATTTTTAAGTATTTACTTTAATTATACATGTGCATACGTAAAGGGGTCATATGATGTTGCTAAAAAGAACATTATTTTGTGTATTTGGTGTAATGAAATGTGTTTATGTGGTTTAAAGTTAAAAAACACATTATTTTCCACATACTGTACATTATTGTTTCTCCTCTATGCCCCGCCTTTCTGAAACGCGTTGATTTTTACAAAGCTCATCGTTCTGAAAAGCGAGGTGTGCTGTGATTGGCCAGCTATCCAGTGCATTGTGATTGGCCGAATACCTCAAGCATGAGATGGAAATGTTACGCCCCTCACCATACTGTGATGCCATGTCCGGCCGGAGCGACGAGACAAAAACATTAAAACCCATTATAAACGAGGCATTTGTTGCATCCAGTGGGGACATAATTACGGATTATAATGACTTATACTGTCTTTTTACGCGTTGCATCGTGCCGCGCAAACATAAAACTATGTCTGCATTTGTGATCGGTGAAATGACAAACAAGTGCTACTCTACACTGCTCAAAACTTGCTTGAGTGAGCGGAGGCCGGCGGGCTTGAGAACGGCACGGTCGGCGGATTCAACGAAGGAGCGGCCGGCGGGCTTGCGGCAACCACATGTGACGACCCCGGGCTGGACTCCGCTTCCTCCACAACGAAGCACACAGCGCCTTCACGACATGGCGGCGGCAACAACAATACTACAGCGAGAATAAAAGTTACGCCTTTTTTCTTTGCGTGAACATTTGGGCGGCGTTATGCAAATCTTCCCACATAGTGACATAGACATGTGGGGGCGTGTTAGAACGAGCCGCTTTAGGTAGGCGTTGAACTTTTATAAAGAATATCTCTTTGGATTTGAGACTTTAGTCTTTGCAACTTTACAGATCTTCTTTTTGCACCAAGAGCTTGTAACACTCCAAAGAGAAAGGAAAAATTGAAATCGCATCATATGACCCCTTTAATTTTGTACTGCTTTAACAATTAATCAATTTTATTCAAAATAATTTTATTAATTATTATTCTGTATATACATTGTTTTTTTCATTTTTTCAGTTATAAAAATAACACCTCTCTTCCAATATATACACTATACAATTCTATATAACATTTATAATTAAAAACATTTACTGTACATTTATATGTTAATGTTTATTGGGAAATATATATATATATATATATATATATAATTAGTGTATGTTTTAGAATACAGTGGGGGTTTTTTGGCTATGGAAAAATGTATTATTATTGCCAAATTTCATAATAATAAATGCAAAAAACTAATTTGATTTTAACATGCAAATTACTAATGAAATTCATAGTCGAGTATTATTCTTGAGTTTTATAGAAGTGTTTATTTGAAATATACACGTACATACATGGATATTTACTGTTTTATATTTTAATTATTATTCCTAATTTTCCCCCCATTTCTTTTCATTTATAAGCAGCGTTATGCATTCCATATTATATAATATTTCATGTTTATAATTATGGAAATTTTATATGCTAACATTTACTGCAAAAAAAGAGACTTCATCAGCGATTTTTGAGGACGTCAATTGATTGGTCTTGACTGTATACTAAAACAACACCTTTAAAAAATATCTCTTTTTTTTAATTAAAGCAAAACTCTAAATGAATATATTTAGGAAAATAATCATATCATATAAACATCTATACCATGTGTATCTGTGGAAAAATGTAAATGTTCAAAAAAAAACACTCCATTCCGGTGCTTTTGTGCAACAAGTGGAACTTGTTCTAAATAAAAACAGGTTCTCAGGTCTCAAGTGAGCTAAAACAAAAAAAACTCTTCACAGAGATGCAAACAGTATAGTGGTATTTCTGGTAGCACAAGGCACTAACAAAGAGCAGATCATATAACCAAAGTGTAAATATAACCTGTGTTTACCTTGAGGCAGATAAGTACGGTAACAAAGAAGATGGAGATGGAGAGAAAGAGGAAAAACATGAGGAACCAGGCGCTCCAGTGCAACCAGTTACTGAGACCCATCATGCGCATGTACTCCTGCAAAACACACACACGGCTCAGTCGAGCTTTCTCACATCAAGAGCAACAGAATCCATGTCCATGCCCATCTTTGTGTACCTTCAGTTTCCTCTCCTTCTCCTGCACCACAGCGCGGACGATATTCAGAGAGGTGTAGGTGAAGCTGAGCACCAGCAGCAGCGGCAGCTGGCTCTGGATGGCCAGGATGAAGACGTCGTAGATGAACGCTGGGTAAGGGAAGCGGGCCAACAGCACTTGGGCTCGTTTGAGGAGGGCCGCCGCCGCCGTGCTGTTGTAGGCCTTCATGATGGCCTGGTCCACTGCATGCTGCACCTGCAGGAAGCCCTCGCGGTAATATCCTGTCCAGAGACACCAGAGACACATACAGTACTCATGAGATTCACTCAGTCAAACTTATGAGGGTTTTAATTGAATCAAATAAACTGAGGAGAATATTCTGGGTTCTGTACAAGTACAAGCTCAATCGACAGCATTTGTGGTTTAATGTTGGATACAACAAATATTAATTTCCACTTGTCCTGCCTTTTCTTTAAAAGAGCGCGAATCTGGGTCACAGTGAGGTTAATGCAATGCAAGTAAATGAGGCCAGTCTGTACATGTTAAAACTCACTGTTCTGCCAGAGAAGACAATGTGTGTTAATATGATTTTACTAGTGAGACAAAATGTATTAATCTATTGTGTTACATTCAGTTTTAAAAGTTTAACTTAAAAAAAAAAACGTAAAAAAAGATTTAAAAAAAAAACATAAAACTTAATATGCTTTAACAAAAATATGAATGTAAATGCTTTAATAAAATTATACGTTTTATATTTTTGCTATCAAATCCTCAAAAAAATAGGAAAAACATTGAATTGTAAATGCCTCACCTTAACCTCAGTCTTTGGCCATTTAAGACCTCCCCCCCAAATAAAATGTGTTTTTTTAAACCGTTTCAATTCATCAGAATGGTACAAAACTTGGGAACTTGATGCACTTGCTATAAGAACACACACATACAAAATAAGTTGGATATGATTTGGAAAAAAAAAACATTGAAAATAAATGCAGAACAATTTTTTTGCACCGTTTCTACAATATGCATGATAAAATTATTTAAATGCAAAAAAAAAAATCACTTACCAACCTTTTTTATAAAGTTATATCCAATTTTACAACGTTGCAAAAACAATGCACAAAAAATTACTTTAAAATGATGATTTAAAGAAAAAAAAGCAACAAAAAAGTATTAATGTAAATGCTTTTATAAAATTATAATTAAAACAATTATCTATCAAATCCAATCTAAATGCAAAAAAATGATATAACCATTTTATGCATAAAATCATATCTAATTTTATAGCGTTGCAATGATGATGCAATGTCATAAACAAAAAAAAACAAAAATTATTGTAAAAATTCAGAATTTTCAGATTTCAGTAAAAAAAAAACAAAAAAAAAAAACATTCTTAACAGAAGAACATGTAAATGCTTTTTATAATATTATAAGCGTCACATTTTTGCTTTTACATCCTCAAAAAAAAAAAAAAAACACTGTAAATACCTCACTGTAACCTCAAACATTGCTCATTTTAGACCATACATTTTTAAAATGAAAAAATGTAATGCATCAGAATGGTGACTTTTGTCATACTTGCTATATGAACACACACAAAAAAATTGACACTTCTGTTCGGTAATAGGAAATTAATGGGCAAAACTAATACTTTGGGGTACAATCTACAAATCAGACAGCAATGAGGGGTTAAACTCTAAAACACCTATAACAACTCTGCTGAGCTTCTGAAGGTTACAAAGCTTAAACATTTATTGAAAATTCCTCACTGCTTCTTATGGCTTTTCAAACCATAATGACCCTCGAAGATCAAAACACTCGCTGTGCGGTCTCTCGCACTCGCACTATAAAGCAACTCAATGCAATTACATGCAGATGAAAGGACGACGGTGAAGCGTAAAGAGTCATGCGAGCGGAGATCAAGATGTAATTTGTAGCACCATACCAAAAATAGAGGTCGATAGTCATCAAAGTTCAGAGCCTATGCTAAAGCAGCGCTCATGATTAATAACAGACACGCTGCAGGCGTTTGAAGCCACTGGCAGCACTGGAGGCCATCAGATGAAGAGAGCGCTAACTAATCCAAATCACTTCCTAATCAATAGCTAGTGCCGTCACGGGAAACCTTGTGTACAGGAAGAGATCATTAAGGAAGCAAGAGAACAAGCCGGTTTATCTCATCTGTTGACGGTAACTGACAGCTGGTGTATCAAGTCTGTTGAAGGAAGAAATCGATCGGGTCCAATTTGCAAGATGATGGGCGATTTGATTACTGAGTTTTTTAATGAACTGATACTATTTTATTAGCCTATACTTGTAGTTTTGCAGCTGTTAGCTTTAGCATCATCTATATTTTAATGCATAAAAATTCAACATTAAGCACACACGTATTTACAGACTCACTCTTGGAGAAATCCAAGCGTTACATCAATTGCTCAGCAATGGATCCTCTGCAGTGAATGGGTGCCGTCAGAATGAGAGTCCAAACAGCTGATAAAAACATCACAATAATCCACAAGTAACCCACACCACTCCAGTCCATCAGTTAATGTCTTGTGAAGAGAAAAGCTGTGTGTTTGTAAGAAACAAATCCATCATTAAGATGTTTTTAACTTTAAACTGTCGCTCATGGCTAAAACACGAGTCCTCTATTCAAAATATTGCTTTCTCCAGTGAAAAAGTTATCTGGTCTGAATCAAGAGAGAAATATGCACAGTTTACAAGTGTAAACAGTCCATAACATTTCTAAACAAATATGTGGGTGGATTTTGGTGTGAGAGACAACAGAGGATAAACATTTTCACTGGACGAAGCATTATTATGGACAGACAAAATGGTTTGAAGTAAAAAAAAAAAAACGTCAATCATGGATTTTGTACAAACATGCAGCTTCTCGCCTCACAAGACATTAACTGATGGACTGGAGTGGTGTGGATTATTGTGATGTTTTTATCAGCTGTTTGGACGCTCATTCTGACGGCACCCATTCACTGCAGAGGATCCATTGCTGAGCAAGTGATGTAATGCTACATTTCTCCAAATCTGATGAAGAAACAAACTCATCTACATCTTGGATGGCCTGAAGGTGAGGATATTTTCAGCAAAGTTTAGAAATTCACGCCTGTAATTTTCTTATGCTGGGTTTATTGGTACTTTACAGCAACATTTCTCACAATGCATCAATGTGGACTGACCTGGCGTGCCCCCGTGTGGTTCGTGTTGTTCTCTGGGCCCGGGCAGCTGGATCAGCGGGAACAGACTGAGCGTGTGCCAGTCCTGATCATTGTTGGGGTTGAACTCCGACTTCTCGTGCGCAGGAGCGTTTCTGGGGCTGTACGTGAAGCGCAGATGATAGCTGACCTGCCACACACCAGATCAACCGTTACTTCGCAAATGATTTTCATATGACTCAACGTTTCATGTAATGCAGGGTCAAACCCCAAAGTAACATGAGTGTCTTGATTAATGGCACAATAAAGACTGAAAAACTCTTGTGGGGTTTGAACCAACAACCTTACGCTTACCATACCAGATAATACTGAATATTGTGCAATATACACTTGAGATATTTTATTTGACATTCAGATTTTTTTTTTTTTATAATAATAAAATAACTTTTTTTAAACCCTAGGTTTACTGTGGTTGTTTGTAGGGCTGCATAATATGGTCCAAAACTGTGACTATATGTCTATATGACTATATAATAATAATAATAATAACAATAATAACTATCGTTACTAAATAAAAATATTACACAAGCATTTTTAACTGTAAAATCAAGTGTTTAACAATAATAAGAATAATAAGTTGCAAAATATGAAAATATTTGTTGTAATATTTCACAGTAAAATACAAAAATGTATATTCAATAATAATAATAATAATTAAATATTACTATTATGAATAAATAAAAATACTACGCAAACAAACTTTACTATAAAACAAAGAAATTAAGTGTTTAATTCAAACAAAACAAGTAGTATTTCTGTTGTAATATTTGACTGTAAAATAAAGAAAGTGAATATTATTAATAACAACAACTAATTATAATAATAATAGTTACTATTTTGTTATATATTAAAATTTATATATTGTTAATAAATAATCAAATATATTATATTTATTATTATTATTATTAAATTGCGCAGGTCTAATTGTTCACCCAACAAAAATGTTTTTTGTCCACTGAAAATATGAATCTCCAATGTTTCATCATATGAACGACTGAACGGACTGAACGCACAGCCTCACTTTGTTATCTGCATAAAATTCAGTTCAGCACCTACTCTAAATTTTCATCTGACAAAATAAAACTGCGTAAAAGCATCTGCGTAAATCCCTCATATTGGGAGAATTGGGTGTCATTTTGGGCCTCATTCATGGCATGAGGAAAACTCATTTCTGTGTAAATCATTCATAAAACCATTCTTAAGTTAACTGTTTAAAAACATACATTTGATGAAGAATTTACACAGAAATGTGCTCTCTTCCGCGACGCTGATCCAGCACCTGCACCGGAGCTGTGGTTAACTCACTACAGCGTCAGTGAACGAGAGATGATGATTCACTCGTGTCCTCATGAGAAGAAACCAGAGCTGACCTCATGGAGAAACCTTAGCCAATGCATCTCAAAACGGCTGAAACCTTTCGGCCTGAAGATTCAGTGGTTCATAAACACAAGTGCAGGCGCCGGAGTCATGAAAGCAATATGCTTTGAGGCTATTTGTTGCACAAATGTACAAATGGCCTGATTCCTCCAGCTAGATTCGACTGCACTCTTGACTTCTGTGGAAAACGGGTTATTTTGTCCTCAAATGCTCAGAAAAGAACATTTCCTTCAGGAACACTGGCTTTAAGTAACGGTTATCATCATGAGCGACACATAAATGGGTGACTGTCACTAAAACCGACAAGAATGCTCTATATTTCACACCAAAATCAAAAGAAAATGGAGGAAGTGATTTTGCATAAGTACATCTAATTGCATTTTCAGTATCATTACAGTTTTTGTCAGTTATTTTCCCCCAGTTCTCATTTTTAATTTCAGTTGTTTATACACACACACACACACATTTATACAAACATACATACATGACAATGTAATGAACAAGCAAATCTAATGTAATTTATGCCATTATTCATTTTAAAAATAATAATAATAAAGTGACTTTCATTACTTTATTACTATTATTAGTAAACAACATGGGATTTATTGCATTAATAAGAATTCAAGGGGAAAATGTGTTTAATATCATGCAAATCATACAAATATTGTTAGAATGCAAAAAGCTCCATTTCATTTATGCAAAATATAATTTTAATTTAATAATAGTAATAATGCCATATATTTAAATTATAATTAATTATTATAAATGGAATATATTTAATTATTGTATTTAAAAAAATAATCATTTTATATACCTTTTGATGCAAGAGTGAAATACATGAAAATTTCTTCATGAGATTCCTCCACATAATGATTTAACCTGTTAAGCATTCAGTTTTACAGGTTAAAATAATGTTGTAATGTTTCACTATAAAAGAAATGGAGTAATTAATAATAATAACAATAATTACATTATAGAGTGATTTTTAGGGCTGGACTAGAATATTCGATTATTCGTTCGGTGGGTTGGCATTCGATTTTCAATTTTGAGATTCGAATATTCTTTTTTTCCCCTCCGAACACCTGGCATCCCCCACGAAATGGTTCTCATTCGCACTTGAATATGAATCGCCCATGAGTGAACGTCATGAACATCATGATTCATTTCATCTGGAACAGAAGACAAAAATGCTGAAGACCTCAGCTGTGTGGGAGCACTTTAAATTGAGTGAGGACAAGACAAAGGCAGTGTGCCAAACATACGATTTGAAACTGGCCTACCACAACAGCACATCAAGTGTGAAAAATCACCTGAGTTCTGCAAGTAGTACGCCTATAGTATATTGTTGGTGTAAAAAAAACGAGCTGCTTTTATCTGCCATGTTAATCAGTAATTTTACACATGATAAATACGTGCACTTAATTTGCTTGGAAAATACTTGCGAATACGGCAGTCATAAAAAAAACGTACAGTAGCCCAGCTTAATAATAATTTGTCTATATTAAAAGTATTGCTCTTAACAGGCCTGTGTGTTTTGTATAACTAGTGCAGTGTCCGTTCTCGGAGAATATAAGCCCAGCCTGCGCGCTGTTCTGATGTTTATTAAAAGTTTATTCATTCTGAACGTGTCGCGTGTCCATATTGCCCCAAAATGAGACACTGCACTCCCTTGGGTCCGCAGTAACACACCCGCCACGCGTGAAGTCTATTGGATGAACGGTTCTCGACATAATAAAAATGCAAACAGACAGACACACAGAGATTCGTGCCTTTATTACACCGTGTCTACAACGGACGCAACAGTTGTCGTGACGCGCCGCGCCGCAACACCTGAAGTCTGTCTACAATTGACGCGACAAAGCGACCGTTGAAAATCATTTGAAATTTGTGTCAGTAGGCTACGTCATAAATAGAACGCAGCAGCAGTTTACTGCCGGGAATTTGTCGCGCCGCACCGCATCCAGTGTAGACAATAATAATTTTATTAGAGCCCTGCATTTCAGACTTTTTTACGCCCCTCGGGCCGGGCTTCGGGAGATATTTGAGTTATTTACTAATAAACTAGTGTTTTCAGAGTCGGTGTCGCAAGGATGAAGTTGCCGATCCTGACTCACCATCTCCTCATTAGACGTGCCTTTAGAGAGAAGTGCATCTTTACGGATTATGATTATAATGAAAGAGTTTTTGATTTGTTTTATTTCATTAAGTAGTAATTTAAAGCTTTCTATAGATATATTTATCATGTCTGTGAGGCATGTATTCGCTGAGTATCGGTTCATTTTTGTGAAGCGCTCCTGTTCAAGACCGAGATGGTAGAAAGCGCATCATGTTTGTTTTCTTTATTTTATAAAAGCACAACGTTTTGTTGATATTGTGAGTGCACACAAATAAAAGTAGACCCTTTACCGTTACGAATGATGTATTACTCTTACCTTTATGAGCAAAAATGACGGCGTA